TTATGAAAGTGCTCGAGTCCCTTTTGTATCTTTTCAATGTTGGAGGAAGAGGAAAAGGTGGATACATTACCACTTAGTAAAATATAAATGCCACCATGTTGTTCAACAGAGAAATTCAAATGTGTCATGAAAAATATATTGTTTTTGCTATAAAATCTTGATGCCCGATTTTACTAAAACATTTCGACAAGTGGTTTCCATTAATGAAACAAACAAGCAAACAAGTATTCAGTGCACGGGAAACACAAGCCAACACACAGACCCCTCTGCCAACATGGGCCAGTCTGTTTGGAGGCTTCACAAAAATATAAATATTAGATATTTAAAATAAACAATTGATCATCTCTGCTCATGAATTCTTAACATTTTGATAGTGTTTGCTGACTGAGCAGTTTGTTGTGCTTGGCGTGCTGCCATGCATAAGGAAGCTCTTGTTAGCTTTGTCAATCAGGAGAGATGAAGAAAGTGATGACTTTACTTTAATATTACATTTCTATCGCACAGCTGAACTCTTGCTGACCTGTGTTAAACATTAAACTGACATTTTATATTCGTCTTACATTATTTGTATCCTAGGGTGCTGTAAGGATAACTGCAGTAATTACAGTCATTACTGCAGTAACTTAAAATCAGCCGGTGCTTTAATCTAAGCTGCTCATTGTGTGTAACAGTTATGGCATAAATAGCCATATGCCAGGTGATAACTTTGTGTCCCGCTGTGTCACAGATACCGGGCTGTGGCATCGTGGAGCAGAGTGCAGGGCGTGGGCATCCCTCTGATCACCGTCATTGAGATCGTGTCCATCTGGGTGCTTTCACTCATCCTGGCAGTGCCGGAGGCCGTCGGTTTCGACATAATCACCTTCGACTATGCCAACAAAACCATGCGCACTTGCATGCTTAGACCCCGGAGTGCCTTCATGGAGGTGCGCTGTTACCACTTTGCCATCCCTTTAAAGAAATTGCATTTTGTGCCCAACTTTTTAGACTGCGCTAAAGCCAGGATGTGCAAAAGAATTGTTGAATTCTGTAATGTAGAGACAAAATGATCTGCTGACATGACTGCTGACATGGGACACACACACGTGGGAGAACTACTCAGAGTGTAAGATCAGCATAATAGTTCCATCGTGATCACTGCCATCATCTTAAAAGCATCGTATTGTTCGTTTGGAGTCGGTAAGTGGTTCTAATGGACAGCTGGTGCACTGGTGTGCTATTTTCATTATATATGGGCGCATGTTTTTAAAGCATCGGTGCCCCAGTAAAGCATGTTTAGACCTTAAGAAAACTAGAATACAGCCATGAATCCGCTCCAGTGAATATTAAAGGAATAGACCTGGCCGGCTTAGTCTTTCTTAGTGATTATGCCCTGTTTCACAATTTTGGACCACGTAATTGATTGCAGGCCAAGTGCAATTACACAGACCTGGGGCCTCAGGCTCAGGCCACATGTGCATACCCTTGAGGTAATCTCTCCCAGATATCAATACAGTGCTAAAGTCTGTGCCATTGTTTAATAGCAATGAAATAGGATATTTTTGAAAGACACCAAATTCTTTTTTGTCCATAAAGCAAAAGATACCAAAACCTGAAGTGGTTCTACGAAGACTCCAGAAATACTTGGTGTAATAAGGTTTGGTCTGGTTTGTAGGGTTTTGAAACAGTGCATATTTAGCATATTTTTTAGAACCACAGAAAACCAGAGGCTCTTATTATACACAGTGTAATTAGAACGGCTTGATTTCAGACTTACTACACAGTCTGTGTACAGAGCAGCATTCACATGGACTTCATTAACACTGGAGTACAGGGGGAGGCTGGTAGTGGTGTGAGGAGAACTGCTTCGGTTACAAAAGCATAGATTCTACTATAGCATGAAGTCCAGTTTAATGATTTTCAGTTTACTTCCATAGCCCAACACCACATATGACATCTTATTTAGGATTTTTATTAATGTTAGGGCCACATGAATAGCTGATGAAATGGAACTATAGATTATAGTGCAGAAACTGCATAAAGTCCTAAACCCCTTAAAACCTGAACCATGAAATAACCACCAGAAATCTTTCTTTTTTTGATAATGGAGTGTTTGTCAAACCTTTAGACAAAAATTTGAATCTGCATATATGAGGTTTAATTTGTATCACATTTGCTACATTGTGCTTATGTACAATATTTTTGCAATTTAGTCATTAAAAATTTGTCATGCAATTTATATGATTTTTTGAGGGTAAAAAAAAAAGTCACGCTGATGATGTAGAAGTCTCAAAAACTCACAAAAACACATGTATCAAATCTGATACACTTGGTTTTAAAGGGTTAAAAAAAAGTCTTCCATAGGAATTAAGAGGAGACTTGATTAACTGATCCTCAGCAAATGTGAGCACCTCTATAAAAGCAGAAATTTCAGCAGTTTGCTGGTCTGGAGCATTCAGGTGTGTTTTAACGCCATGCCAAGGAGTACACACGGTGTCAGAGAGGCAAATTGTTGCTGCTCATTACTCTGGGAAGGCTATTTCTCAAAGAATCTCAAGTCCTTCATTCACCAGAGAGAAAGATTATTTAGAAGTGGAAAACATTTAAGACAGTTTCCAGTGTTCCCAGGAGTGGACATGCCAGCAAATTCACCCAAAGGTCAGATCATGCAAGGCTCAGAGAGGCTGCCAAAACCCCAGGAGCTACAGGCCTCCGTTAGCATGTTAAATGTTAAAGTTCACGACAGTACGATTGGGAAAAGACTGGACAAGGATGGCTTGTTTGGAAAGAGAAAGGAAGTGGAGAAAGGAGAAAGTCTCTTCTCTCTAAAAAGAACACTGCAGCACAGTTTAGGTTTGCAAAGTTGCATCTGAACTAACCACAGGACATCTGGAACAATGTCCTTTGATCAAACGAGACCAAAGTGGAAAGTTTGACCATGTTTGACAATGCCATGTTTGGCAAAAACCAAACACGTGATATCAGCACAAACACCTCATACCAGTTGTCAGCACAATGGTGGAGTGGTGAGGACTTGGGCTTTTTTTGAAACCACAGGATCTGGGCACCTGGCAGTCATTGAGGTCAGCACTGAACTCCTCTGTATGCCAAAGTATTCTAGAGTCAAATGTCAAGCCATCTGTCGGAAAATTCAGTCATACAACAGGACAATGATCCCAAACATACCAGAAAAAGCAGTAAAAATAAATGCTGCGGTGGGATTTTAAGAGAACTGTGCATCAACAAATTCACACAGACCTCAATGAACTGAAGCAACATTGTAAAGAAGAGTGAGCCAAAATTCCTCCAACGATGTGAGAGACTGATAGTCTTCCAGAAAATCATTACCTCAAGTTATTGCTGCTAACAGTAGTTCAACAGGCTATTGAATCGTGGGGGTGTTTTCACAGGACTGTATGTAATCATGTGAAAAAGTACTTTTTCACATTATTGTATGTGCAAGGATAAGCTTAAGGGGCATTAATAAATATGTATGTATGGGAAATGTGTGGAGCTCAGCGGTCTGGAGTCCCAGTAGGTCATAAACCTTCAACTCCCTAGTCTCAAACTCCCAGGTCACAGTAAAACATGAATTTATTGCAGTTTTTCATAACTAACACTAACACTGTGTTTGTCGCTCTCTAGTTCTACAGAGATGCAAAGGACTGGTGGCTGTTTGGCTTCTACTTTTGCGTACCACTGATTTGCACAGCTATCTTCTACACTCTCATGACCTGCGAGATGCTCAACCGCAGGAATGGCAGCCTCCGGATCGCTCTCAGTGAGCACCTCAAACAGGTTCAATAACATTTCTAAATCGCCTTTTCTCTCTAAATATAATCCCAGTGTTTATTCCATTGCTTTAACATTTGACATTTCATTACCTAAACATCATCTTCAGACTACACAGTAATCTGTTGTTTCCCTCTGCAGAGGAGAGAGGTGGCCAAAGCTGTCTTTTCCCTCGTCCTCATCTTTGCCCTCTGCTGGTTCCCACTGCACCTCAGCAGGATTCTTAAGAAGATGATTTACAACCAGACAGAGAAAATGCGATGTGAGCTGCTCAAGTGAGTTTCTAGAAGAATAGACTTCTGACAAACAAGGTCCTCAAAAATCTACTGGGAAGAAGAGTATGGGAGCGCACGGGCCAATTTAACTCAGGGTGTCACTAGCTTCTTTGGAAGCTGGGCTTCCAAAAATGTTTGAAAATTATTCCTTCAATATTTCTCCTGTTCTCTGTTTTCAGTTTCCTGTTGATCCTGGACTACTTTGGCATCAACCTTGCAACAATCAACTCCTGCATAAATCCCATTATCCTCTACTTTGTCAGCAAGAAGTTCAAAAATTGCTTCAAGGTATAGTAGGCATGGATATATACACATGTGGCATGCACGCAAAATCACTCTTTTTTTAATTCCACACACCCACACTTCTTCTAATGTTTTTGGTCAGGCTGGGAAAGCAAACAACGCTTAGCTTGTGATGACTTTTGGTAACCAAAATGTAAAAGCAGCCTGATGATTTATGTACTAATTTTACTGGCCGAGGTCACGAACGGACAGAGACTGAGATTAACCATGTTTCAAGCTTGCATGTGAAAAGAGTTGCAGGAGCAAACGAGAAATGTGATCTACACGAGGGAAAAATCCTGTCTGCAAACGCTGCCATGTTTAAATGTTCCCTTTCCTCTCTTCACATGTTCTCCAAGTCGTGTTTGTGCTGCTGGTGTTACTCCGACAATCAGCTGAACAGCACCGGACCCATGAATGGCACCAGTATTCAGTGTAAAAGTCCAGAGCCCAACAACTTCCACACTGACCGCGGTACCAGAAAGTACAGCAACTGAGTTCCCGGCTGAGGAGTGTCTTTGAAGCTTTTCTGTATCCCCATCAAGCACTTAAAATGTGACCAATACTCATATTATAATACATAAATCAAAAAAATGTACACATTCAGACAATAATCTACGTGAGGACTGCAGAAGCAAAACATGAATATGGCAGGCATGCATTAGGAACTGGAATAAAAGGGATGAAAATGGATTGGGGAACTTCAATACGCTGGTGTTTCCTGAGTCTCTCAGCAGACTAAACTTCCTCCAACAAACTCCTTCTGTTCCCACACCCACGGACAGTGACTCTAGCTTGTAAGAAGAAGGAGGAGGAAAGCAGGAGGAGGAGAACTTTTAAAGGGAAGCAGCTGAGCCTCACTATAAATTGCTCTCTATCAGGAGCCAAGTGTGCTATTCCTGTAAAGGGCAGCACCACTGGGAAGGATGCTGCAGGAAGGAAAAAGCTGACTGTTCTCCGTCAGAGGGGATGACGAGTGATGAGTCCCCTGGAGTTTGCTACTTACTGATAATGAAAAACAGGAAAGCATGCTAGTGACAGTTGTTGTACAGTATATTTGGCACATACTTATTATTCCCTGAGCTACTACGTGGTATAAACTAGAGGATGACTTTAAAGTTTATTCGCCTGATGTTTAAGTCCCACTGCTTTTTTTGAGTTATCAAGAAAGGGGTGCACTCTGGATGTATCTGAACAAAATCACTGACAAAAACACAATTTTTTTTTTCTAGTTTCTAGTGAGAATACTGCACAGTAGACTTCACAAAAAGTCAGGTCCTCTGTTAAAGCAGCTGACACATCAGGAAACATAGGGTTGCAGGTTTTAGAGCAAACAGTTAATGTGCAACAATGTATTTTAACACACGTCATACAAATGACTAACATGCGGTAGATTAAAGAGTAACCACAAGTGTGACCATTGAAAAAAACAGATTCCTACAACACTGTGAATTTCAACATACAAATACAACAGTTTTCTTGACATCTCTGCTTTATAACCCAATGCAAATATATACTCATGTAATGACCAATTTTATAAAGTGTTAGACTGCAGTAACAATATTTTTACTCAGCCTATCTTACCTTTATAATGACATAGGTAAAGAATGTTTTGTGAGATGATAGACACTCCACATTTAGAGTTGGGTTCGCATTTTGGGAAATGTGTTTACAGTGGTCGCTCACCTTTTGCTGTCTCACGGATTTTTGTGTGGGCAAATTTGCGTGCTTTTTGTTTGTTTGGTTGGTTGTTGTTTTTACAGCACATTGTGTTCTGCGTCCTGTAGGCTATTGTCAATCGATCTCGTGCTGTGTCTCCTGCACAATACAGAATACGTTCAGCTTGTCAAATTTACATAAATCTTCTATCGCTAGCAGTGTGCTGCGGATGCCTTTGGTTTCATTCTATAATACTGCACTTATTTTTCAACAAGGTTTGAAATTTGAGAGTGTTTAAACAACAGAAAAAAGTGTAAAAATGTTCATGCCTGTCTGAGAAAAGTGTATAAAGTGTGTAGTGAGGGGTTTTACAGCCTTAAAACATCTATAATAATTGTAAAAAATAAAGTTAGCTACTTTGCGGTTTTAACTTATTGCGGGTTATTTTTAGAACGTAACTCCCGCGATAAACGAGGGGCCACTGTACTTGTTTTTGCCCGTTACTGTGTGAAGCTACAGCCAGCACACAGTTAGCTCAGTTTAGCGTAAAGACAGGAAACAAGGGAAAACAGGGGGCCTGACTTGGTCCAAAACCAAAGGTCCAACTCCATTTTAAAACATTTTGCCATTTATATAACACATCCATGTATACTTACATGCTTCACTGGTAGAACAAGACTAACTCAAAGGGGTCACAGAAAAGAACATTAAGCTAGCTAATAATACCTCTATATCTCCAAAACATATTTTGACTTCTTGTTAAATCATAGTGTCTGTTTTACTTTTATAAGTGGTATCGAAAGAAAATAAGAGGTGTGGCTACACTGGCTTCAGATGTTTTCAAAAGCATTTTTACTGAAGCTAACAACTGAAAAATAAACTGAATCATGTATCAAGTTTAGCCATGTTAGCCTGTATGTAATAGCTAATTATGTAAAGAACATTCTTGTTCAAATCAGGACTGTTTCTCAACTGTGTGCAGTTATTTCCTAGATTTATTTATTTTATTTAGATGAACTAACCTAACCTAGAGCTTAGAGGCTACGAGCCCATTGCTTTATGGGCTTTCTCACAATGGGCCTCTAGTGGACAACCAAAGCTCTTGTTGCATGTGTAAGCCTTTTTGTATATTTTCCAATCATGTGTCAAGAAACAGAAATCCTAGCCCCCACTGCTGATCACCTCACTGATCCCACTGCCGATCACTGGTGCCAAAGCTGAGATTAGTTTGCAAAATTCCATTCATATTCCCAGAAATCCGAATCGCTGCTAGTTTCTTCCTGTGTTTACATCTGTTACATTTACAAACTGATGGCTTAAGCTTTGTACTGTATCTCTTTTCAACTCAACCATGCCAGAAGAGTGAAGAGGAGCATTTCCCAAAATGATGATCAAGTACTGTATGTGGAACCCGTGTCCCACCACAAAACAACTATAATGCCTTATTCTATTTGATATGTGAACACCATTGATCTAGAAGGACCCAAAGACTGAGCAATAAGCTGTAAACTCTCTGCCGTCTTACTCACGGGTTAGTATGCAATGCAACAGAAGTCACAAACAAGTGTTGCAGCTGGTAGGCTCCCCATTATGTGAATATCAACATAATATTTTTTTCTGTCATGGAGCCACCAGTAAGATGGCAGCGATATGCTAAGGACCCAATTTCATTCGGGGTCAACCTTCAGGATCAATAAAGTTTTATTAAATTGAATTTGAATTGAAGGAGACAGGACAGAATAGCACCTTTCTGATGTTCTACATCTATGAGAGATACCCGTAAACCTGTGTGACTTTGAATGTGCACTATCGTGTGTGTGAGTGTGTGCTGTGTCTGCAAATACTAGCACGTCTTTAGTTGGAGTGTTTTGCACACTTATGTATAGATCAGTTTATATCTGTACGGTGTTATTTTACCACTACTCAAAAGCTATTCATAATAATCTGTAGAAAAATGGATTTCGTATATGTTTGTTGTCACTGATTTAACGTGTTAACCTCATGTTAATGCTGCTGCTTATACCAATAAATCATTTTCCATCGTAGGAAACAAGGACGTTTACTCAGCCATTGTGTTCCTCTAAGAAGTCAAGGTCCCCCCTCCCCTCCTGTTTCTCATCTGCAACTGTGAGAAAGAGGCGTCTGGGAGTGATTTGAAACACACTGACCTGCTTGGCACTCAAGCCCTAAGGGTTGCGAATGTCAGGAGAGAGGATGTGGAACGGCTTGGATGGTGGGAATGTGATACTTATAATTCACTCTCTCAGAGGGTAGGGCAGAGGACTGAAAAGTTTGACCATTAGCGGCATAGTTTGCATAGTTGTGCAGTCCTCGTTTTAGTCTGTCTTTAGCATGGCTTTAATTGTCTAAATGCATCTAAGCACTGCTTCCCTAAATCTGTATTTTTTTGGACAATTTGGCTGTGAGCAAATGTGTCAATAACCCAAGATTACACTCCATCACACTCAACAGCAGACAGTTACCAGAACTGTGTAGCTCTATATACAAAGTCAAAATCATCCAAGACCAACAGGCCATTGTAGCAGTCACGGTTTATCAGACATTGGTCTGGTTTATGTTTCAGCTATTGGCGATAAATCTCAGCCTGGTCATGAACTTTATGACACAGTTTCATATTCCTTGCATTATATCACAACTGGTTTCCCGTAACTCGGAAGAAATTCCTCAAAACTGCAGTCACTAAAATGTCATATGTTACAGTTCAATGAAGTGGAGACAAAAATAAATAAATAAATAAATAAATAATAAGCCAGGAGAGAATTTGGTGGGAATCTTGTCTTCTGCCAGCAGTGAATTAAATAAAGCCTGAAAACAAATAGAGGATCTGAAAGATCCAGAGTGCTTTCCAAGCAGAGCTTAACTCTGATTTGGTGGATACAGTAAAAATATGTTAAAAACTAGTCGATGTTCAAGGCAAATATATGTGATGGCTACGTGTTATCAAGACCCTTTCATATAATCTAAAGAAATTCCTATTTTTGAAAGATTTTTTCTTAGACAGGATGACACAAACAATATCATTTTCTTTTAATTTGGAAAGACCCAAGAGTTTTAGTGTCAAGTCTGTGAAGCAGTCATATCCTAGTCATGGTAGAAAGAAATGCACATGCTCTTTCAGTCCTAAGGTTTTACAGATCACAAAAGAACTTTTTAAAATCTGGTCATTGGCAGGTGTTAAACTTAAGTAAATAATACCTCAGATGAACTGCAAAACACAGCTTTACACCCTGTCATTGTGTCATCAACAAAAATAAACCGAAATGCAATCAATGTGTGAAAACGAAAATCCAGGAACACCGTTTGTATCAAGAATTATTGTCTTCATCAGTCTCTCACATTCTTGTGGTCTTCTTTACAACATCAGTTCATTAAATTTTGCAGGCTTTCATTTATGCACAGCTCTCTAAAGGTCCCACCACAGCACTAGAATCCAGCTTTGGTTTTGACTCAGCCATTGCAACTTGATCCTTTTTCTTTTTCATGTAGATTTTCTGCTGTGCTTGGGATCATTGTCTTGTTACACAACCAAATTTGGCCCAAGCTTAAGCTGTCAAACAGACTTTACATTTGACTTTAGACTACTTTGGTATACAGAGGCATTCAGTCATCAGTGACTACACAGTACTCAGGTTCCATGGATGCAAACCAAGTCCAAATAATCACCACTCCCCCACCATGCTTGACAGTTGGTATGAGGTGTTTGTGCTGATATGTTATGTTTGATTTTTGCCAAACACAGTGTTGTCAAACATTTCCAAACAGCTCCACTCTGGTCTTGTTTGTCCAAAACCTAAGTCTTTTTTAAAATTGTACTGTTATGAACTCTAACATTCAACATGCTAACTGAGGCCTATAGAGTCTGAGATTTAGCTTCTTTTTATCTTTGCTTTGGCTCGTTGTTTGTTTGTTTTTTTAAATAAATCATAAAATGGTGTCATATCATCTTTTGCTGTTCATCTCAGGTTTTCCTAATTTAAAGATCTGCTAAGAATCAGATTATTGTTTTTATATCCTGACACGACAACTTTAGAATTGGAACAAGGCGTACTTCCTTTTTACCATTACTGTGTCCTAATCTGTTTCTTATTTTAACATGTGGATATTTTTAAAATATG